TAGATTTTTAGCTTTTAGTTGCGGAACTTTTAACCTATAGTTATATGGGTAGAATACCCAGGAGGGTTTCCAGCGGAGCAGGAATTCGTTTAGCATGAACTTCCTTAGCAGAGGGGATAACCGTGCTTTAGAATTTTAGTTGAATAACAGTAAATTGCAAATATCTCAAAACGTATCTATAGGAAAAAATTTGACTCGATTTTCGGAATCAGCCGGCGATTCTACATTGCCATTGGATAGGGACATCCGTGGAGCGAAAAAAAATGAAATTTGTAGACCAGAGTTACATTTCGAACTCCTGAAGGGTTTGTCGTGGTTAGTTGAGATGAATGTAATCACTCCGTTGCTGGTATATTTTGGTCTTCTGTTCAACTGCCATGCATTGTATTGTGGGCTGTCGATACCACTTTCGAACTCAAGGAGATTAACGTAACGCATTTTACTGATGCGCATATTTTTTTTTGCATACCCAAACGACCTGAATGCTGAAAGTATATGCAGTAGCCGCTGGTGGTAGCATAGGAAGAAGAAGACATCTCTGCGATGGAAAGACCATAAGGAGAAGGACTTGGTTTAATTTGACATCTCAAAGTAACAGGAGAGAAGCGGTTTCTGTGCTCCATTGGACTTGACAAAACCGATTAGGCTATTAGAGCGCTACCTAAGAAAAATAAGTAGAAGCTAGATTAAACCTTCTTTAGTTTTTCACTGAGACTTAACAAAAATTTTACCAAGATTTTAGTGTTGTTTTAAGATTATGATTCTAGTAGTGGTACCTAAAGTTGTCGACTTTTCTTTGGATTCAAAAATCCATAAAACGTGCTGCCCAACATTTCTTTTGCTAACTAAACAAAGCGATCAGTATTTAGTTGAAAAGCGTGAAACGTTTTAATTGTTTGTGTCAACGCATTATTTCATATTTTGTCTGCACAAAATTCATTGCGTTCTGATACAAACATAAATATGTATGTGTGTTTACTCATATGTGTACGCTTTGCAATTAAACGAATTTGTATGCGAATATTGTGCGTGGTGTGACCAAACAAAGTCCCAGACGCTCAAGCAAATACAAATAAAACAAAACAGTCATGCCAATGCATTTAAACAAAAGCCACAAATATTGTGTATGAAGCTTTTGTGTGAACAAAATAATAGAAACAAACATGCGAGTTCATTTGGTTTAAATTCATTCACATTTAGGCAAACTCATATTTACATACTTGTGTGTGTATTCACGTTCATACTGTGCGTAAAATAGCAAGACCTCACTTAAAATAAATTTTCATGTTGCGCAGACTTGCCACTCCTCTGCAAAGTTCGTTGGTTCGCGTTAGGAGTTCTTATGCAACACTCACACAGAGAATACATACTTGTGGTATTTATTCGTATTTATATTTCACTTAGGTTATTCTTAAAAAAATATTTGCGTGTACATATGTAAGCAGACATACATATATTTATGCGCTGAATATTAATGATTATATACATATGTATGTATGTAATTTTCCATGTACTTATACAATAAAAAAAAGTATAGAATTTCCCAACATACCCTTTGGGAGGCACACTCTATATTTTAAGTGAAGTAGGTACTACATATTGTACATACATACATACACATATAACATAAACCGGCATTTGCAGATTCATTTAGTCCGTGGTGCGTTGAAAATTCCAAATGACCTGAATGTTTGAAGAAAAATATTTATTAATTTTGTGTGCCGCAATATTCAAAATAACCGAAATTCCATAGCTACGGAATACATCTGTACATACATACATATGTACGTGTAGAAAATAAATATGCACGCATCTTTCCATAAGTATTTATATAAAAAAAATACATATGTAAGTATGTATTATTGTTGTAGTTTTATAAGTGTGCACATAAATAAATAAATTCATATATTGTATTGTAGATATGTATGTATGTTTGTATGTATAAAAATTGTGAGTACGTGAAAAAATCTGCATAAAATTCTTTTCCTGTTTCATATTTTTTTATTGACATTTTTCCTCGACAAATAACTCTGCACCCAAATAAAGTAATTTGCAAATGTTCAGGTGTATTTTTATTATAATTTTAATGGAATATCGCATATATTACGAGTATTAACCGTTAATGTACAAGGTGCTGCCTTCAAATGGAACGAGTTCAAGTGACAAGAAATTTAACTTTAGTGTTTATTAGTGCTTGTACAATTCGTATATCCGATATTCGTCTATGCAGGTAAAACCCGAATATCCGGTTAATATACATGCTTTTTTATATTCTAAAATGTGTTTGAACCACTTTGTAAAGTTGTTCTGAAAAATACCGAATCTGAGTTTCAAAATAAATAATAAAAGGCTTTTAGTTTCAAACCTTTAAATTAAAGCTCTATTAACCCTTTCAGTACAAAAATCAACCGCTGAATCTAAAAATTTTAACATATGTATACCCGCTAATCGTGGATCATTTATTTCAAAAATGAAATCAAAACTTTTGTAAAGCTCTTAGTTTTACCGTTATTCAGCGTCCATTATATTGGACAGTGGCACCATAGGGGTTAAAAACATGATCTCAACTATTTTTGTTTTATTCTTTAAAAACTGTGGATAATAACTATATATTTTTTTTTCAACCCTCGATATAGTTAACCCTTCGATTTGTGAGAAGGTCCCTAGGGACCTTTTCGTATTTCATGTGCCTATATCTTTTTGTTCAATGCATTTTTGAAAAGAATTTATACATGTATTCCAAGAATAAATTAAG